GTTAATTGCTGTTCGGAATATTCAACATAGAATCGGTTTGCTGTTTTAATGGGTTACTATTCACAATCCACAAGAAAAAAGATCTCTCACTAAAGTCCTCTATAGTTAAGAAAACAGTGACTCATTAACCAAGCCCCGCCCCCTGATCAATGAGGTTGCAAGAAATTATAAAGCTTGGAATTTGATTGGTCAGGGTGTGGAACTTGAGCAATGCGTCACTATTAAACTACTTGGTATCCCTTCCCAGGTAATATTATAGTGCTATCTCTTTCTTTTAAAAGTCTAGGAGTAAGGGTCGCATGCTTACAGAGCCAGTCGTGTTCCGTCCGTCGCGATAAGAACATATCTTCTTTCCATATCCGTGTGAGTAGAGAATAACAGAGTAGAGTATACTAAGTCAGCCGTGCAGATAGAACTGTTTGGTGGTTAAATATGGAGTCTCAGACATGTAAAGGTAAGTTCACAGATTGTTTAATAATTACTAATTACATAGCTGTAATATTCCTTCTTTGTTCATTAATTTTTAACCTGTTTAATGTATTTATTTGAGGTTAAAATAAATTTATTTACTTTTAATACTGAGGTGTTAAAGCTGTGTATTCAGTCAACGTTTTAAATGTATTGATTGTAAATCTGTTTGAAGTTATTACTTCGAAAGCTTTAATTGACATACATTTAATTTGTGAGATTTAGAGCTTTTTCAATCTTTTCCATTAATTGTAAACATATTTGAGTGTATTTATTTGACGTCAACATGAATAGAATTGTTTGAATTATTTCGGCAGCTTTAAGTTAAGCTTTTTTTTTCAAGGTCCGAAGGGCACACTCTGTACCAATTGTACATACCTGATATAATAATAAGTACTAATAATAGTTATAGTCATTTATTCATCAACAAATTACGTTGTATTTGAAATTAAAATAATTAATAAAATAATAGGAATAATATTTAAACAAAAAAAAAACATAATTATGTCATCATTAGTTTTCATTCATGCAATATCATTAGTATTTTAAAACAGTTTAGTATTTTAAATTTATTTACATTATTTGCATTAGTATTTTAAACAGTTTAGTATTTTAAATTTTTTTACATTATTTGCATTAGTATTTTAAACACTTTAATATAATAGTAAAAATGTCTTAATAATATAATGTCAATGGTTATCTTACATGAACATATTTTGGATAATTTAATTCAGATAAATTCACTCTATGTTACAATTCATCAATAGCATAAAGGCATCTGTCCAAAAGGAAAGCTTTTAATTTTATTTTAAAAGAACTTGCACATAACGCTCTCTTTATATCTTCAGAGAACCTATCATACAGCCGTACCGCTTGATATCTAGCGTTGTGTTTTACGACATTTAATTGGGGAATAATATATGTTTTAAAATCTTTTCTACGTGTCTCTTCCCTAGCTTTTCTTTCAGTGCTATTCTCAAAACTACCTATAAGTTTTGCAAAATTACTTAATACCACTAAAATATAGAGGCTAGGAACTGTAAGAATTCCTAGGCTTGTGAAGTATGGTCGACAACTTTCTCTTTGTGGCACGGGACCATAATGCGAATAGCTCGTTTTTGTAAAATTAAAGCTCTTTGCTCATTTGGATGCTGTATCTTAATTTTGTAGTATACCATTTTTAGTCTTTCTATATCTAGTTCGTCTCTAAGGGATCTTATAGCGTAACATGCAGACGATATAGAGGCAGTTACTGCATTTAATTCAGCTTTCCAATTCAGCAAGTCATCTATCTTAACACCTAGAAATTTTACTTCTTTAACCAGATCAATTTTATTACAATTTAATTTAATTTCCAGTGTCGGTATTTCGTGACGTACTCTTAAATAATATAACTTGAGTTTTTTGCGGTATTTATTAAAATTTTATTTACGGTAAAACATTGCGAAAAGCCTTCTAATAGTTTGCTTACTTTATTGGACAAAACTTCCATGTTATTTCCCTTTATAATTGCGTTGGTGTCATCAGCAAATACCACTAATTTGGAGTCAGGAATAATTGAATTAATAAAATTAAAAATGTAATTTGTAAAAATTATAAACAAGATCGGACCCAAGATAGACCCCTGTGGTACCCCAGTCTTAAGACAATAAATCAGCAATCGCAAATGTTAACATTTGCGATTGCTGCTGCATTGCTGATTTATGTACGGATATATGTCCTTTTTTGTCTCTACTATTAGATTCCACGTACATTTTCCTGTTTGTAATATAACAATTAAAGGTTCGTGATCTACTGTATCAAAAGCGCAACTAAGGTCCAAGAATATTCCAGCTACCCTCACTCTTTTATTAATTCCCTCCAAGACATCATTCAATAAAGTGTAAATAGCATCCGCAGTACCAACGCCTTTCTGATACCAAAATTGTCTAATATTTATAACTTTATTTTGATTTAGATGAGACAGTAAACGACTCTTTGAAACTCTTTCAAACAATTTTGAAAGCGTGGGTAGTAAAGAGATCGGTCTATAAATTTTTGGTTCTGTTTTACAACCTTTTTTAAAGATGGGAACAATTTTAGCTACTTTAAGTTGTTCGGGAAATACCGATGCATCTATGCATCTGTTAAAAAAACTACTTAAAGGTAAGGCTAATAGTTCAGCATGTTCTTTAATTATACCAATGGGAATTTCATCAACACCACATGAACGCTTATTTTTTAGTGAAGCAAGTATTTTCAATAGTTCATGAGGTGTGGTAGGAGAAATAACCATTTCCTTTATGACTCTTTTTATGTTCTGTTTTAGTATTGCATTTGCTTGATCTTGGTCTTTTTTTATGATTGGATTAGTGCAAGCAAATTGTCTTGCTAGGTAATTACATATTTCGTCAGGATTATCTACAATTTTTCCATGTATCTTTAGTCTAAGATTGTCAGTTTCTGTTCCTTTACCGTTATTAGTCTGCTTATTTACAATGTTCCAGATCTCTTTGTTCAAATTAGTCCAATTATCTATACGAAAATTAATCGCACGTTTTTTTCCCATGTTTATAACTCGTCTGTAAATCTTTATATAATCATTTTTATATTTCAAAATGCTCGTATTTAGCTTCTTGCCATTGTGAGCACATAAAAATCTTTTCATTTTGCTAGAGACGCTCACACCTTTAGTTAGCCAGTCTTAATGTCTATATTTATTAGGGTTAACAATGCAAGACTTTTTTTGTAACTTTTTCAAAAAGCTTTTGTAATTTTTTTAAGAAAAGTGTTTATCCCCGTTAAATTACATTCCCAGTTTTCCTTTAAAATATATTCGTGGAAAGTCATATTACCCTGTTTTTTGTTAAATGTACGTTTTGTTATTGTTACTGTCCTAGATTTATTACTCAGAGTAGTGTTAATATTATTTAAGCTAATAGTACAAAAAATACCTCCATGTCCATGTTCGGAATATTCAGCCAGGCCGTTGTGATCAACCATATAACCTTGAATACAACTGTCCGATAAATTAGTTATTAAATTATCAATACAGGAACTACTACTGTTCCGGACAAACGTGACTTCATTAATAAGATGTCTGAAATTATAACACGTCAACAAACTAATGAACTCGGCCCTTTTTTTCGTATCTAGTAAGAAATCAACATTAAAATCACCACAAATTTAACCCTTCCTATTGAACAGATAATCCAGTAGTTTTTCTAGATTTTCCATAAAATTATCGAAATTTTTGTCTGCCGGACTGCGATAGCAACAACAGATATTCAATCCAGTGTCAATATCCTTTATACCACAAATTTCAAAACTGTCTTCTTTATATAAATTATTGATCATATCTATTTTTACTATTTATATGTCCTAAAACTAAACCCCTTTTCCGTGTTGGTCTTGTATTGTATAATATTATATTGTAACCATCCAAATTAAAGAAATTTACTGATTCATTATTTAGAAAGTGCTCACTTAAACATATATAATTCAAATGTGTTTTCAAACTCTGTAGATAAACCTCAAAATCAGTTTTCTTATTAGAAATTCCACATACATTTTGGTGAAATATATTTATGTTAGTTAACGATGTCTCTGTGTAATCGTCTTTAATAGACACATCTAAAGAACAATCATGTAAGAAAAAGCTCCTGTTCTGATGGTAAAAACTCAGTTTGTGTCATGGTACTGATACATGGTACTATTTTCTCACTATTACATGTAAGTATGAAGTAAGTCTGAGTTTCTACAGTCCTAAATTCTATTTTATTTCGGTCTCGATTATTTAGTAACTAAATGGTGTACATTTGGCAATTGTATTTGTAATTAATTTGCAAAATTTGTCTATGTAACGGCCTAGAAGCTTGTACTTTATTTACATAGTGTGATGACTCATTGAAGTTGAAACCTCTCATACCTACTGACGCAGGTGATCACAGGCAAAGGATGCTTCAGAGATCACCTGTGTCTGACCCGCAAGGAGCCAACGCCTGAGTACTACTACTGAGTGAGGGACCGGGTTTGGGCTCGGGGTACCAGGGATCCCCGGCTACTCGTACCCTAGACGGCGTACTGTGTTTGGTCGGTTCGAGTAAGACATAACCACCCCACGGGTGGGTGGTATCTGACGGGATTGCCGCACAAAAAAAAAGGGGCAAAGAAGTTTCAGTCGTCTAGTTAATATAATATATATAATAATATCTATATATATGTGTGTATACATTATATATGGTAATTTTTTTTGTGATAGATATCAACTAGTCATTTATTCGTTAGCTTTAATTATACACCGGCCACACCAAAAGGATGACTGAAAGAAAATGCCTATGGCATTAAGTCTGCCTTATACAATGTATTTGCAACAAGTATTAAATAAATATAGCAGGCCTGAGAGGTTAGATATCATGACCCAAAAGAACATTCTATTGTTTTGCGCCTGTCCAACCCCTTAGTAAACCAATTTGATTAATTTCTTAACAAATAAAATGTCTTTATTTTTCATTATCAAAAAAATAATGTTTCTTTTTTTTTTATTTCCAGACATGCAGTCACAAGTTCTATATTCGAGTTATCACCATGATCGCTTGCTTCCTGTTGAATACAAGACTCATTTTATGAGGAATGATTCAGTGTCATCAGATAGCAGTTGCAATCAAAATAGTATTAAATATTCTCAGAGCAGCGTATCAGATGTTACTTCAGATGATGACAGTTCAACTGGTGAAAATAATTTGTTAAAGGGAGCAGAAATAAATGGAGTAATGTATCGCAAAGAAAACAGTGATGAAGAACTGGCGGAGTGTATAGAAGCCAGTGAAGAAATCGAAACCCATCACACCGCTGCAATATATAATATTTATTCTAACTGGTCTAACAGTTTGGACGACTATGGTTTAGTCGAAGGACGTGATTACGACGTTATTATCGAGTATACGACTAACCCTAATTCGAGTGCAAAGGCCCCTGTACCGTCGAAATTTTCTAAACATCTATCACCTACCGAAATTGATCAACAAAACAAGAAAAACTATTCTGAGATGCTCAAAAGTGCTTGTACAGCAAATGACAATTGTAACCAAAATAGTAGTGAAACCCTTAAAATGATAATTAGGAACAAGTCTGAAGTCATATTAAACTGTGATTCTCAGACAGAAAATAAACAAGAATTGTCAATAGCCAAAGTAACGGCACCCAAACCTAAGAAGAGGTCTTTCGACGATAATCTTGAAAAATGTATGGCATCAATTCAGAAGGATGAACAAGAAAGAAATAAAAATAAGATAAGTAGAAAAGTTAACAGTGATATAATGAAAATAAATATTAAAGAGCAAGAGGACAAAACTATGAAAGAACCAGCCAGAAATAAAAGGACTGTCGTGAATTGTCCTGTTGTAGTAGCAGGTCCAAGAAACGGAAAAAAATTACAAATACCAGAACACTTGAAACTCAAAACTAGAAAGAGATCTTTCGAGAATGAACTCAATCATTGTATGGAATTAACCAGCAAAAAGACAGAACTAGCAAAAAAAAGAAAGAAAATTAATCTCCAGGAGGATAAATCCAGAAGAGGCATTTCTTTCAATAGCTGCTCTGCACAAATGAGATCCAAGGCGATAGTCCGTGACATGCAAAGCAATACATCAGACAAAGTTGTTGAGTGTCCTATATCACGTACAGCACCAAACGGATTACTACACACAGCCAGCTACACTGTTCGTGAGAAACAAATCTTTGATCCTATTAAAGAGGCTTCTAGAAAGTTTTTAATGAATTTTAAAAAACAAAAGGCTGAAGCGAGCATTAAGAGAGACGAAAATATAATCAAAAGTAAGACATGCAAAGTTGAGAACTTTCAGATACAACCTTTAATGACTGATTCTGATTATTTAAAAATTGTAGGAATGACCAAGGCAGAACCTAAAACTGAAAAGAATCTGTTCGACGATAAACTTAACAAGTGTATGGCATCAATCCAAAAAGACGAACAAAAAATAAACAAAAATAAGCTTAATAGAAATTTTAACAGAGATAATATCGTAGTAGTGACTAGTCGAGCTTCAGAAGAAGGACCTAGTACCGAAAATAAATTGCAAGCCCTGGAATCTTTCGTATCCAAAACTAAGAAGAAATCTTTCGATAACAAACTTAATCATTGTACGGAATCAGCAAGCAAACATACAGAATTACCAACAAAAAAAAAGCAAATTAATCTAGAGGAGTATAGATATAGAAGAGGTATTTCTTCCAATATTAGCTCTGCATAAATAAGTTCCAAGGCGGTAAGCCCTATCATACTAAACAATACGGCAGACGAAGCTGTCGAGTGTGCTATAACATGTACAGCACCTAACGGATTACTGAACACAGCCGGAAAGCTGCACAGCGATCAACAATTCTTTAATCCAATTAAAGAGGTTAAAGGCTTAAGAGAAATAATTAATGAATTTAAAAAAACAGAAGGCTGAACCGAGTAGGACGAAAGACTTAGATATAGTCAAAAATAAGATACTCGTAGTTCATAAATTTCAGATACAATCTTTGATGACAGATACTGATTTTTTTAAAACTGCTGGAACGAGCACCGCCGAAGTATCTAAGGTTCGAAGTATTGGGAAGTCTCGGTTACCAGCTAATGATAAAAATTGTTTTAGTCAACATGTTAGTCAATACTACAGAGACGAAGAAGAGGGTCATCATAACGATGACCCACCCTTTACACTAAGCGAACCGAACGGTGCGCTACAACAATTCAACCCCAAAAAGGCTCCGGGAGCGGACGGATTCACAGCAGACATCTGCGCTCGCGCCATAGGGACCAACCTCTTGCTATTTCTGGACATCCTTAACCGGTGCCTCCGCCACGGCTATTTTCCTAGTTTTTTTAAACCGGGAAGGGACTCGTATCGCCAATACTCGCCAATCCCAAATCGTACAGATCGATTGGGCTACTGCCTGTCCTGGGAAAGCCCAAAAGGAGCACCGAAGGCGCCCTCCATGACCTAATGGGGCACATAAGGGCTAAACTTAAAGGCCGAAGCCAGGGCCCTCAAACTTGCTCTGTCACCCCACTGCACCGTCTACCAGACTGAGCTTCTGGCCCTGTGCAAAGCGGACAGTGAGGTTCTCAGGCGAGGCGAAACCACGTTCGGTATCTTCAGTGATAGCAGAGCCGCACTCTTGACGGTAATTAACCGTCAAACCACAGCACACTGGCAGTGGAGGCCAGAGCAGACATTCGAAAAGACATGACCCGGGGTAAGGAGATATCCTTATTCTGGGTCAAGGCCCACGCAGGGTTGGGGCAAATGAGGGAGCGGATGAATGAAGAAAGCACCGGACTACGGTTTGTGCCCTGTTTCGTTTGTGAAGCGGGGTCTTCGGCAGCCCTCGCTTGGCGAATGGAACAAGAGGTACAAAGTGGGCGAGACCGCCCCCGTTACCAGGCTCTTTTTCCCCTGCGCGCTGGCTGCATATGGCGTTGTACGCAGGATGGAGGTCGCCGGCACTACGACCCAGTTATTTACGGGGCATGGTGGGTTCTCCGAATACTTGACACGATTCAAGTGCAAGGAGAACCCATCATGCATTTGTGACCCGGATGTCAGAGAGACCGTCCCTCACCTGATTGTCGAGTGCCCTACCTTTAATAGGCAGAGGTACGACATCGAATCAGAAATGGACACTAGAATTACAGTTAAAAGCCTAAGTAATATAATTAGTAGTAAGTATAGAAATAAATTTATAAAATACTGTACAGTACAGATATTATTAAAGTAGTAAATAAACGAAATAGAGTTTAAGAACTATGAGACAAAATATTTAATAATAATTTTAATAATTGGTCATCATGTAATAAAAGTTGGCAATATAATAAGTTGTGTGGTAATAATAACTTGTAATTTACTAGTAAGAAATGGTTAGCAATAAGATAACAAATATGTATAGAAGAAAATGTAAGTAAAAAAGTTCCCGTGTCACCACTTACTACCCTAGTTAAAAAGTTAAATAAATAAATAATAAACTAACTATAAGCAGAACAGCAGGAATCCCACCTGGATGGTATGAAAGGCAGTGTGTAAGAAAGATCAAGTATGAATAATGAAAGCACTAGCAGTAGCAAATGAGTGTATTAGAATGAATGAATAGAGAAGGTAATTAGCCTCCAAATTGACATTGGAGGTGCTAGAAGGCAGCAACACCCTGCGATGTCGTGAGTTGCTGTGAATGCATTCTAAAAAAAAACTACAGAGAATGTGTTTCAAAACAATTCAATTATGTATGGGAAGTCAAAAGCAAGCTCACCTTTACTAATGTAAAGATTAACTTGCTTTTTTTTTGTTTGTAAATGTCTAGTTTAGGTTCAATTACTTCAGAATATACATATATTTCTTGTAAAAAGTATGATATTTAGTTATCTCTTGTTAGAAATGTTAGACATATCTCACGTAACACAGATAAGCTAAGTTTCATTTTTGTGTACCTTCTTTTATCATGTGACAGTAAAATATACGAAATTTACGACTATTTGTTTCTCATATTGTAACTACAATCCTCCCATTAACAAATATACCGTTACACCTAGAATTCAATCTTATAATTATAAAACCAACTTAGTAAGAATCATATACAATCTTAATAATTATTATCTAGTATTTAGTCATAGATCATAACATAATCATATAATCACAAGTTATTAAACTAATATATGGCGGTAGTAGGCTTTTTCAATGATTTGATTGGAGCCAAAATTGTTAGAATACCATTTCGGTAACTGTGTCTCGTCCCGAGTCTCGACCCGAAAGTCTCGGGGTCCGAGATAATTAAATTTAAAAAGTTCCGGGACTTTGAGACATGAGTCGTCCTGGGACCCAAAACCCTAATACTACTGTTATAAAGAGGTAAGGGGTAATCTTTATAACCACTGAACCGATTCTGAAACTGCTTTCATTTATATTTGCTGCGTCATCCCTGAGTGCTATAAGCTCATTTTATTGAACTGAATTTTTTCCATGCGCTCCTTAAATAGCTGCATTTAATTGAAATCAAGTTTTCAGCTTTATCTTTAAAAGACAACTCCCACGTTACAAATATATCCTTAGTCGCGGGGGACTTTACGAACATACACGAAACGGACTCACAGAACACCCAGACTCAAAACAATAATTTGTGGATCACACCTACGAACCCACCACACCCAGCGCTGCAGGTAGCGGCGGCGCAGCGATAGCTTAAACTAACATGCCTTCCGTATAGTCTATATTGTCTGACAATCAGGTCCGCCTTATTTAAACCTACAAAAATTGAGCGAATCAACATTTCTATGATGATGGATTAAGAATGGGGAGTGTCACCAACCTTACTCATTCCGTGGGTGTCGTAAGAGCCGACTAAGGGAGCAAACTGCTACTAGCGCGTAGCTAGCGACAACAGCTGCTACGAGCCATAACGTACAAGCATCGTCTAAGACCGCAAATGAGCATAATAATTATTGAACATTGCAAACCGTGGCAACGTAGCGAACTGCTCGTTACAGCCTTGCTGTGCCACAAGAGTATAATATTCAAATAAGCTAAACGTGCACCGTGTGTTATAAATTCTAAGACTTGTTAACTTATATCACGTCAAAACCACTTTATGCTGTCAAAAACAGTAAGTGATTGCCAAAATTTGAACCTAATTTTAATTTAATGCCCTGTTATTTTATTTCATACTGAAAGAAGAAGGGTTCCGATTTTGAGGGTGGTTTAAATAGAAATAACAAATTTCAAGAACAGTAATAGTGCATTAGTTTGCACGCTGTGATTTGATGATCATTTACTATATTTAATGTTTGAATACAATCTAAAGTGTATTCCTAACTAAAACACCAAGAACCATTAAAATTTTAGACTATCCTTGTAGGGCTGTAAGGTTGCCAATTATTTTTTGGTAGTCATTATATTTAATCCCAAATTCTAATAAGTTAGGCTAAATTAAAAAGTTGATTTTTACGATGTCCCTGCAACGTACTCCACCATCTACCCTGTAGAATACACAAGGTCGGCCAGTGATCTGAACTCAATAAGTGATGTCTGTGAATATGAGCGTAAGATCAAGGAACAGGGCGTTTGAACATACATGTACATGTATTTCTTTGTCACGCTCTGTAGTCTAAGCGACTTGATGGAATCCATTTAGCTTGAAAGGTGTCGTTAGATTCGCCTTAATTGTGACCGTGATACAGGGTATATGAGAACTCTCCCTGCGAATGCTCTCACCAAAATCTATGCATTCTCGGGTACCGGAAGGGGGAAAACCAGCTGTAACCTACGGGATATCCCTAGTACTATGAAGGACCTCGGGCCATCTACAAATTATAAAAAAACCATCTTTTCCTGTCTGCTTCTGCCACAGTAACAGTCGTGCTCCCCTATCACTCAGGCGTTAGCTCCTTGCGGATCAGACTCAGATGAGACTCTCAAATTTCTCCTCTATAACGGATCTTATCGTCGCAATAACCGCGTGATCTTCACTTCTCGGTTGCCTAAATCATGCCTTTTTATCCTTGACGAGAACCTGGAGAAGTTGGGATTTTTGATCCTCGATTTTTCGAGACTCAGGATTCTGACCCAACTACACAGCCTCATTGTGATACGGATACAAAGCCTCAAGGGCTCTCGCCTCAAGGTCAAGTTCCGGCCCCGGATCGTACAGTTCCCTTATGACCCTGACGGCCTGCACTCGTTTTAGTGAGCAAGGTACTCGCGTAGTCTCTTGCAGGTGGCGATGTCCAAGGACACCAGCAAGGCGAGCACTACACGGCCCTAAGGAGCTGCTTCTTTAGCCATAGCCTTTACGCACATGATCGCATCCATCGCAACCGTACTGGTTGTACACCTGATCCAGCCCCACTTTTGAGGGGTGCTCTACGAGGCGCTTTGCAATCATTCTTTCAAAGAGTTTGCACATTTCTTCGAGCAACAATACTGGTCAGTAGGAATTAATACCACTCTACTACATGGGCAGGCACCCATTCTCGTTGTAAATGTATATATGTTATTTATTAATAGGATTGCAGTTTAAAATAAGAAACCAAAAGACGTCACATATTTTATTTTATTAAAATATTTTATTTTCATAATAATTTTGCAAATGTATAAGTTAGAAACATAATATAAAGCACAAAAATAAAACTTATGCTTATATGACACACGTTGTTTAAGATGTGTGTTACATTTGTAATAAGAGATAGCAACTAATTATGATACTATTTACAGAGCAAAAG